TTCATGTTGGCAGTGAAAGTTTAACAAAGGGGTCCCTAAAGCTCCATGCATCCTCAAAGCCTTAACAAAGGCATAGATAATAAGTCTGGCATCAAAGCCATCCAGCTCTCATTTGTGAGTACTCCACTGAGTTGAACATTGCTGGAGGCTGAAGACTCAGACCCAAAGACCATCTGAAGGGACCTTTAGCAAAGACACAGATCAGGAAATGGATATGAATGCGAAGAAGTGAGCAATGCAGGACTAGAGTGGCAGGAGTTGGGAGCTCAGAGGGCAGAAGGGGCATTACTGGAGGACTTCCGTGTCCAGCAGTCTCTCTGCCAAGTCCCTCCAAACTCTGCTCTGCCTTGATCTCAGTGAAGGTGCAGGAGGATGCGTAACAAAGACCTCCCACCTTTGTGGGTAAATGCTGGAGGGTATGTGATATTCCTAAGTCTCTAAGGACATCCTCTTAGCCAAAGCTGAGAATTTTATTTCATTCTGTCACCTGCCTTCAACTCAACGTAGCTCTTCTTGAAGTCTTGTCCGCTCTTGCTTTCATGACTCCATTCTCTTCTGGTTTTCCTCCACCTTTAGTTGGTCCTCCTCCTTGTAACCCCACTTTTCTGTATAGGCTCCAGGTTCTTGGTCGCTCTTGTGTCAGTGTAATCTTATCCATAAACATAACTTCCACGACCGTCTCCATACTGGTATTTCTGAAGTCTATGTTTCTATTCCAGGTTTATCTTCTTCTGTCCAAACTACATCTTGGCCTATCTCTGGCATATCTTCTCAGATAGACATCTGTTAACAAGAACTGATAGATGCCATGAAGAGACCCTAATTCCACCTATTAGACACGTACATAGATTTAGGATCCTAAGTGTAATTCTGTTCCACTCTGCTCGAATCCCTGCCAACCAGGTAATACCACATGTGGTACTGTCAGCTTCTGTGTGTAGCATGTGGCAGACTGGAGAGAAGGTGGCAGATGGGGCAGGGTGCAGAAAGCAGAGCAGCAGATCAGGTGAGGAGGACACGGCAGGGTGCAGAAAGCAGAGCAACAGATCTGGCTGAGGAAGGGGATTGAGTGGTATGTAGCAGGGGTATGGGTCTTATTTGTGGCACCCTTGCCAAGACGTTTGGCCCCCACAGGTTGAATTCAATAGACTGGTGGATCCTTGCTTCATTTTTGTGACTTAGATGAGGGTGTGTTGCAAAAGGAGATGCATTTGTTGATTTTCAGGACTTGGGCAAGACATTGAGGTGCCTAAATCCCTTAGGGGGCCAATAGATGGAATCCAGTATGGCCTTTCTTCTCTCCCACATCCTTCCTGCTGCCTCCTTTCTTGTGAACAAGATTCCCACTGTGCTTGTTACTCAGGCCCTTACTGGGAGCATCTTCTTTCAATTGAGCTTCTCTTCCAATCCTCACTTTCAAGGTAAATCTAAATTTTACAGCTCATTTCCACATCACATTTCTAAGGTTTGGCATTTTATATCCATCCTCAAAAGTAACACTTATTTCTCCATTTCTGAAGCATCTTCTCCTGTGGTCCAGATGAATACAGGCTTGCCTCATTCATATTCACTCAGAATACGCTTGCAAAGGTCACGTTTCTAGGCTACTGCCTGGACCCATGTCATTCCTCTACACATCCTTCCACAGTCATCTTTTTTCATTGAATCAAATAAAAAAGCTGGCCTTATTTTTCAAAGCCTTTTGCAGCCTATCCCTGCACCCTAGCATCTCTCACTCCATATTAAGTCATAGGTTCATTGATTCATAGGTTCAAGTCAAGTCCTACTGCCCCATGGATCATTTGTTAGGTATTCAAATGCACACATTGATGCTTTCCTTAATGCTACCCCTAAAGCTTTTGAGCTCCAGTTGATCTGATATCAAAGCTGCCTTGCTATCCACCCCCATATCTCTCTTTAAGACTCTTCTAGGTGTAAGGCTTACAAAACCTTGACAACTATCAGGTGGCTAACATGACTGTTGCCCGTCAGGCTGAGCAATATTTTCTCATAGTTTCCATTTCTTGTCGCTTCTCCTATATTTCGATGGATATTTCTGTCTTTTGGTTCAGTGTTTGTACGGTACTATACACAACGGCATTCCAGTCCAATACTAAGGCCCCGAGGCATTACGGTGATTCAAAATTATTAACATGTCAAGAAAGAGGCACCGTTCTGGATACATTTGACTCAGTATCTGGCTTGCACCTCACTGACAGTGAAATGCATCATAGTGGCTATGTGTGATGAATGTAGGAGCATCTGGAAATGTACACTCATCTGGAAACTAAGGCATATTTCTTGTATAGGGTTTCCAAAGATGGATGGTTGGAATGGTAAGGCAAGAAGATGGTTTCAGCACACTGCCCCATCCTTGTAAGACATAGCAAGGCATAGGTCTAAGGCATGGCTGAATGGGTTGAACTGTCAAACAATGCACCAGCCATCTTAGAATATTTATCTAAGGGCATCTCATTTAGCTCGTAGAGATGTATAAGATTATGGGAGTCTAAAAAGGTCTTATTTGTTAGGTCTTATTTGAAAATAAATTTCTCTAATGCCTTTTTCCATTTGGTAACCAAACTTCCTGGTCTGAGAAAGCTGTGGATCAACATGTAACACTGATCACAAGCTCCTGATGGGGGAACCCCCACCACAGTTGGTAGTCAAACCTGCCTGCTAATAAGCCACTGGCATGGGTGTATCACTTTATTCCAGTCCAGGTCTAGGAGTTAGAGACCTGCAACAGTCTGTGACAAGATATCTAGAGAGGAAGGCTTGAACACCTGTAGAAAGGTGGGGAGCACCAAAAGGACCAGAAATAGCTGTATAACTATGTCACAAATCATTATGTTAAGCTGTTTTATATCCTGGCCATAAACCACACTGCTATTTGGGTTTCTTATTGGCTTCACTTTCTGCTGCTACAATCACCCAGACTGTTCTGTTCCCACAATATACAGCTTTTATTGAGTTGATTTATTTCTTGACTAGCAACTAAATGAATTGGAGACCTGATAGTGAGCTATAACCTGTTGAATAGGAGAACACACCTGGTTTTATTGAAGCTGGTGGGATTTCTATACGTTGAAAGCAATGCTTTAAGCTAAGGTGGTTCCTGAAATTTGCCTGCACTGGGCTCTGTCTCGACGTATGACAAAGGATCAATCATTTTGAGGCAACTTGCCTCACAGGGAAGGCAGATAGATGAGAGAGACAAAGGGAAAGAGCTGTGACCTGACATTACCAGGATCCACTCCTTCCCTCCAGAACTATTTACTATGTCTACAGTCAAACATGAGGATCTCAGACTGGGCTCCTCAGTCATCTACTGACTCATTGATGACTAACCTGTTTACTAGAACACTGTCATCCTCATATCGAGGGACTGCCAGTGACGCTCTGTCTGTCACAGGAATATCAGTCCCATTTTGCAAAGGAGGTCACAGAGAAAATTAGTTGCAAAGCTGGGATTGGACCTAAGGGGTGCCTGTACATGTGCTCAGGGGTGAGGATGGTGGTTTTAATTAGACTGGTTTCCCAACAGCCACACTAATTAAAATAGCTCACTGTCATGTGTATTATGCCCCCCCCGCTCATCGTTTTAAAATGACCATGGGGGTGCTTTAACTGAAGCTCATTTGATGAGTCCTTCTTAATGGACATACCGCCTCTTCATGATACCCATGTGTATATGAAGCTCCTATTCACACTGAATGTGAGTGAAACATGGTGACCAAAAGGAGGGAGGAAATAAAAGCACGTAAGTGTCACAAATCCACATGCAGAAACAGGCATATTCTCCATATTAATGAAATAATAATAATAATAATAAACCCTCTACAAACTGCACTTGATGTCCTTGAGTAAAGCCCCTACAATTAAAGCTTCCTAAGTATTTTGCTGTTCAACCCAACTTTGATTGTGGTCATTGCTGCTCTTGCATTCACTGATCAGGACTTTTTGTACTGGTGTAATGATATATACTCCGTTCTCCATATTTATATCTATATTTATTCTATACTACCTTGTATGATGCCTCATCGTGTCATAAACCACTCCTGGTTTAATGTAAGAGACCTGCTTTTATGATAAGACCTGAGAGTGGTATTCAGTCTATTTGAGTACTGTGGCTTTGAAGCTATTTCCCTTGTTAGGGCTCCAAGAAATTATCTTGCTGGGAAGGAACATGCTTCTGTTAGGATCTACTAATACATGGGGATTCCTGTAGGGTGAACTGTAGGGAGAGGAAGTGTGGTTGCCTATTGAAAGACTTCCTAAGTCAAACATTTATGTGCCTATGTCTGACACTTAGGCACCACTTGCCAGCTGTTGCCAGCAGGATGATTATAAACCACTTGAAAATTTAAATACCCTCTGCTTTTCTTGACCTTTCCCCTTTTCTCCCACCACCAACTGGATGAATTCTAGTAGGTGACAGAAGAAAAGGGTCAGATGAACATCCCTGAGTGACTGGACTCACCCCTGTGGTGTGGCTTTGATGCCGAGTCCAGTCTACATGCCACGCATAGCATGTACCAGCCTCTGGAGCTGGTACAGGGTGTGCGTTGTTTGCAGTATGCAGGCTGAAGCCGGTGCTGAACAAGGCACAGACTGCATGCTGGGCCCGGGACCAAAGCCCTATGCTGCCTGCAGTGGATCCTAGTCTGGGTGCTTCATGAAGCACACGCGGCCAAGGCCATGGGATGGGTCTAGTGACATGGGCGCCAGATCATATGGCTCCATGGGTAGGATCCAGACCATTGACTGCATGTTTAACATTTCTGGCTTAGAAGTCCTTAAGAATTACGCCCTGAAGACCATTTGAGCCTTAACTGTAAAATTTTGAGCAGAATGAAAAGGGAGGAGCTGCAGGGAAGGAAGTTACTCAAACTAAGTTGTGAGTTGTCCTGAAACTCCATGCAGATATAGCTACGTGACTATGGCCATACCTACACAAGATGCTTTACTGCACAGTAGACTAATGTACTGTGCAGTAAAATGGCACCATCTACATGTGCAGGCACTTATTGCACAGTAAATTAGTCTACTGATCAGTAAATTTACTACCTGCATAAGCTGGTAGCAAGCGCAGCTGGTGAATTCAGACTGGTGAGGTGGTGGAGTGTCCCACAGGAGCAGAAAGGGAGTTTGGGGGTGGGG